TACACTCGGCCCTTCAATGACACCGCTGCTATTCCTGATGCAAGGGCAGACGGCCGCTTGCCAGTTAGATCAAAGCAATCACCCAGATTAAAAGAAACAGAAAAACCGAGGTGTGACAGCGGTTGGGTGACTCATTGCTGTCATGTCTCACTGTTAGCTGGATCGCTGGACTGCTGCTGTCTGAGAGGAAGCTCTTATTAAAATCACATCTTCTTAAGCTTGCATGTAATTAAAAAAAAAACAGCACCACAAATCCACTGTGTCGGAAAATCCTCTAAATGTCACACAGTCAAAGCAGTAAAGCCGGAAGAACAACATGAGCGTGCCGTGTTATGGATGCAGTCCGGGATCTACGTAAGAGTTTGGTTCTGGTAACTGTTCCTTAAGCACAATTTTCCAGATTTCATTCTTGAGCCAAGTGTGCTGTGACAGTGTGGCAGTGGGAGGAGCCGCGGGGAGCACCGCTAAAAGTCGACGCCCAGTCTAAAGGGGGCGGAGGCAGGGGTGTGAGACTGGCGGGAAAAGAAAAATGCACACTGGCACAGTCCAGCCTGGGGACAATGAACCGCTTGGAAGAGCGGGTTTCCAGACTGGACTTACCCTGTCTAACAGGCTCTCACACAAGGTTAACATCTTCCAGGTTCCACGTAACCTGGGGGTAATAGTTTAAGATTGAAAAAAGAGTCTGATCCATACTCTAGTCCCTGAACTATTCCAGTCCTGGAACATTTGCTATAGTCTTTTACCAGTATTCCTGAGAAATGCTGGCCCACTACTCTTTTCCCAGCATGCCGCAGGAGTGCCCGGGCCCACTACTCTTTTCCCAGCATGCCGCAGGAGTGCCCGGGCCCACTATTCTTTTCCCAGCATGCCGCAGGAGTGCCCGGGCCCAGGACAGTGCACTCACCCAGTGGCATGATGGAGAGGTATTTTCCTCTGAACTTGCTGGCGATGGTGATTTCCTGCCACAGCGTCCAGCCCCTCCGCGAGTAGACATGATGGGCAGCAGCCGGTGGGTGGTGGCTCACCTGTGGGACCACAGGAAGAGGAGAGACACTGGTTTGGCCACCCTGCATCATCTGACGAATTGATTTGTGCCAAACCAGCTGCTCATTCCCCACAGCATTCTGGGAAACGTGGTCCAAGCAAGGACGTCCACCTGGCCCGGGAACCACAGCCCTCTCCCAGGGCCTGCACCTGTGTGCTTCCCGTGCTCGCCCAGCGCGGGCCCGTGCCTGACCTGCTCGCACAGGGAGCGGAAGCCATGCTCCTCCAGCCGGTCCAGCTCGTAGGTCTCTCCCAGCAGCGGGTTGAAGGGCTTGGCCGTGCGGTGGATGGTGGTGGAGTAGGAGGACACGGAGAAGGCCGCCACGTAGCACAGCTGCTCCAGGGAGCTCTCGCACTTGGCCGCCCGGTCCAGCAGGTCGTGGTACTCCAGGTCCTCCGTCAGCCTCTGCAGCATCGACAGGGGCTCGTTGAAGTTCACCTGCGCAGGAGACGCCGTGGGGACGTGGTCAGTGTGCAGGCCGGCGCCACGCGCTTTCGCTCCAAGTGGCGGCTCAGACTGTCACGCGTTCTCCACAAGCATGCAGGGCTGGGGTCACCTGCCACCTGATCGCTTCGCGACACGTGTGAGGTAGTTAGCCTACAGAGATTTTCGGAGCTTAAATCATGGGTCACATCTTCTTGCAACACTTAACTGCATTTAGAGTAAATACACCTCCATGATTTACGGTTAATGCTACAGAGAGTCTACAAGGAAGCCCACGCAAAGTCTGTGGCAGGGCTGTCTTTCCCCCAATCATTCCCTCTAAAGCTCATCAGTTACTGTACATCAGAGCCTGTATCATGTGATTCCAGCAGCAGCGTGGTGGCTGACACAAGCTGTGGAATGTCAATGGACAAGGGGACAATACGCCAGTGTTTCAGACCCTTCTCATCTCGCTGGCTGAGGACCGGGGTTAATTCTCACGCCCCCCACCGTCAGGAGAGAGGAGAGACACAGTGAGTTTCTTTGCGCCATCGCGACACGACACCGTTGAGTCATCGGGCACCCAACTGATCCTACCCCTGCCTCAGCAGTCGACAGCCAGACGCAAATAAAGCGACCCTAAAGATCCACTTACTCCTACCAAAAGCTGTTGCTCCTAGCACACACTTATTACTTACAATGTTAATAAAGAATGGAGGGGCAACGAGAACAAAAAATCAT